TTGAAATCCTACGTGCACAAACCTAGCCACAGATCATTGCATGGATGGATCTAAGTCTTTTAGATTTTAAATATAATTCAATTAAGGACTCACACTCTATCAAAGTAAGCATTAGCTATGCGTAATTAGCAAACATTTATAAAATGGAAATATCTGCACCATGATTGTGCTTTTATCTAGATAAATTAGTTCATCTATTCTTACTTCATATCTTTATTGTCATCTGGCTGTTTATGCAGGTTTTATTCCACGTCAACAATGGAGCCGGCAGAATAACAGCTATGTATGAACCAGGAGTTGCAAACAGTTTATGTGATGGAAAATGGCACAAGCTTCAAGCAAACACAAGCAAATATCGTATCTCACTGATAATTGATGGGAATTTGGTTCAAACTGATAATCCCCACATTCAGTCAACATCTGCAGATACAAACAATCCCATTTATGTTGGAGGTTATCCTGGTAGGTACAATAATATTTCTTTTTCCTTTTCTCCTTTCTGTGTACTTTCTTTCTTTCCTAAGAATCATCCCTCTCTCCTCCATATCATGAGTTCGTGACTGAGTGATAGATTTTAGTTACCATTTTCCATGTTGTTACTGAGACCACAACACATTAATGGTTGCATTCTATCATGATGTAGGAGTTCATTCAGCTGTTGAGTGGGTTGCATAGATGAACTGAAGGCTTTCACTTTCCTACACTAACCTGCTCCTCAATTTCTGAGAAGGATTGCTTCTGTGCTTCCATATGATTTGTCTTTCATAGTATCCTTGAGGGTTCACAACATCCCTACCTGTATATGTTCAGGTGCAATTCATTTTTCCCTTTGCATTCATAGAATCATAGAATGGCTTATGTTGGAAGGGACCTCAGAGATCATCTAGTTCCAGCCTCCCTGCTACCCTCTAGATCAGGCTGCCCAGGGCTCCATCCAACCTGGCCTTAAATGCCTGTAGGGATGGGGCATCCACAATTTCTCCTTGCAACCTGATCCAGTGCCTCACCACTCTCTGAATAAAAAATTTCTTCTTAACTTCTAAGCAGAAAGTTTAAAGATGTTTCCCCCTTGTTCTACCAGTATCAGACTGTAAAAGGTTGATCTCCCTCCTCCTTGTAAGTCTCCTCAGGTACTGGAAGATCACAGTGAAGTCTCCCCAAAGCCTTCTCTTCTCCAAGCTAAACAAGCCCAACTCCCTCAACCTTTCTTCACAGTAGAGGTACACCAGCCCTCTGATCATCTTTGTAGCTTTCCTCTGGACCCACTCCAACAGCTTCACATCCTTTCTGTGGTCCCCAGCTTAGACACAGTACTCCGGATAAAAAAGCCTCACAAGGGCAGAGCAGAGAGGGTCAATCCCCTCCCTCTCCCTGCTGGCCACCACTCTTTTGATGCAGTTCAGGATGCAGTTGGCCTTGCAGCTTTTTGTTGGCTCATACCCAGCTTTTTGTGTATCAGGATTCCCCAAGTCCTTTTCTCAGTGAGTTCTTCTCCCAGTGTGTATTCATACCTCACATTTGGTCTTGTTAAACCTCATTAGGTTCTCATGTGCCTTCTTTTTGAGAATGTCTAGGTCCAGCTGGATGGTGTCTCTCCATTCTGTCAACTGCAACATTTAGCATGGTGTCATCAGCAAACTTGCTAAAAGTATGCTCAATCCCACTGTCTATGTCATCAATAAAGATGCTGAAGAGCACTGGTCCCATGATGGGCCCCAGGGGCAGACCTGCACCTGAACATAAAGCTCTTGACAACAAACCTCTGGCTATGATCATACAACCAGTTATTTATCCATCTAGTAGCACAGCCTTCAAATCTACATCTCTCCAATTTAGAAATAAGAATGTGGTGCCGGACCATGTCAGAGATCTTGCACATATTCAGGCAGGTAAGCAGTTGCCCTTCCTAGGTCTACAGATGTCATCACTCCACTGTAGAAGGTCTCCAGACTGGTCAGACATGATCTGCCCTTGATGAAGCCATGCTGACTGCCTTGGATCACCTCCTCATCTTGTGTATTCCTCAACATCTTTTCCAAGAGGATCTGTTCCATGAAGTTCCTAGGCATGGAATAGGCTCATTGGCCTGTAGTTCTCCGTGTCTTTGTTTCTCCCTTTCTTGAATATGGGAGTGATGTTTTCCATTCATCTTAGAAAATTTTCAACAATAATACTTTTCCCTAACTACAATTTTCTGCTTTATTTTTGCTAATTTTTCATGTCAGGGCTATGCTGGCAGAGATCATATCTCAGCAGAGGCACATACATCCCCCTTGCATGTTTTCTTCTAGTTAACTATTTAAGTATCATACAATGATGGTAATAGAAAAAAATAGTGACACAGAAATTATATAACTGGAATACTTTTAAATTTTATAATTCATTTGCCAGTAATTTGAGCTAAAACAATTTATTTATTAGGGCAGCTAAATTTGCATCATCATGAGCTTAATCTTTCTGTACTCACACACAAATGTATTTATTTATAGCCTTTTAAGAATTGCATCACTGAGTAGGCTTTGTATGGTTTTGAATATCCTGTACCTTTAAACATATCATCACATAACCCACGTAAATTTGTCTTTGAAACAGCTGTTACCATTTTTTTTCGATTTGGATATTTCCATTTATGTGAAAAGAAAGAGATGAAGTCTGAAGGGTGAACTCACTTTTAAACGTTTGGAAAGCTTCAGGGACAATAGCTTAAAATGGTACAGAGCCTTCTGTTGGACAAGGTTTATGAAAAATGAATTAATGCTAATTAAGTGGAACTTGATTAGTGTAGGTCTTGCTTGAATACCAAAGTAGTCCTACCAGCATTTTGTGAACCTTTTTATAAAATAGGGTAACATGGTGATAATTATTCTTTCAGTACTTCATCCCAAAAGAATAAAGTTCACTGAGAAGAGAGAAATTCTTTAGTTATGTGCTGCAGAAGTGTAGAGTGAAATGTTTCACAGGTTGTATAATAAAGAATTGGACTCTATACCGATCTCATGTTTGATTTGCCAGGACAGTCATGGCGATGTATAACTCAGCTATTGCTGATGGCTTCAGTTTTTACTTGAAAAGCATCTATGTAAAATGGCTTTCCCCTCTCTTTTCCCTGCTCATTTTCCATTTTCCCTTGGGGCAAAATAGTCCTGCAAACTCTGCGTAAGTTATGCCAGTGTATGGCTCATGCTTGAACCAGTACCCATCCATGGCAGGATACCCTAGATCATTCAAATGTGATTAGAACTTGGAGCTCAGCTGTTATTATTTTTCTATCTCATTTGAGAGGGGAAGCAATTAGATAATAACCTGGATCTTTGTGTTGTTTCAGTTCTCTGGAAGTAGATTCTACATAGTTCATGTTTGTTTTTCAGGTGATGTGAAACAGAACTGTCTCACAAGCAAGACCTCATTCCATGGCTGTCTGAGGAACCTCATGGTAACCAAGGGCCAACAGGCTGACTTGTTTGACTTCAGCAGAGCTTTTGACTTGCGTGGAGTCTTTCCTCATTCCTGCCCCGGAGCTCAGAAATGAACTGAACAAGGCCTGTCAGGGTTAGACAGGGTTTTTTTTGTTTATCAGTTGTTTATCGTTCTCATTTCATAATGGAAAGAATTCCCCCCAACCTCCCCCCCCCCCTTTTTTTTTTTTTTTTTTTTTTTATGAGAGCCTGCATCTCTTTGATCTTCTGATTGTTTTTCAACTCAGGTCATCTTTTTTTTTTAGTCAGAAACTCTCTGTCTGTATTGAACTAGAATTTTTCTAAATAACAAATACCTCTACTACAATATTTAGTGACATTAATTGGATATTTCTCTTTTGGGAATTTTTATTAATCGGTGTTTACAATATGTGTTCTCTTGATTACTTGTCAGTATTTCATTTTATTGTGTGTTGGTCATTTTATGAACAGGTAATAATGTTGAGCCACATGATAAAACTGCAATAAACTGCATTATTTCGTATAAATTCAGCTGTCCATATATTTTATTTAGAAGAAAAAGAGTCATAAGATTGTGAAGTAAAAAGTACAAGTGGATTGAGTCCAGCAGAGGGAGCAGGAGACAAAGGATAATTTTGAAGGTATCAGATTCAGAGTCCAGTGAAGAGAATTTTCTTATTTATAATTTCTGTAGTAGCTCTGATCCCTTTTCCTTCTGCTCCAGTCCTCCTGCCCTCAGTAGCTGCATTGTTGAGGTGGAATATATTCCTGTTTATGCTTTCATTTGAGTGGCATTTCTATAGCGCGGAGAATGTGAAATAATGTGTTGGTGAAAAAACTGATGGGGTCTGGTTTGGCAACAACTGTGTACTTTGGCAATGAGAACTAACACATCTTCTGGGAAAACAGTATTTCTTACAAGGCAGAGGGAAACATCTTTGATTCCCTGTGATTCCTATTTTGCAGGCCAGCAAGCAGGTCTGAATTTTCCTGTTGTGTCTGCCTCCATTTCAAACATGAGGCTTCCAGAAGTTGTGCTTGAGCCAGTTTTGGGGGATACACACTTAGCCTGACTCAAGTAACAACATCTTTTCATCGACTGACTGGACCACTGAGTGGCGCTGGAACATGTCTGGTATTTGAGGATGGATCTGTAATAAGTATAATTCCTTATGTGTCACTTCCCTCTCCATTTTTGTTTTTGAACCAGCAGGATTTTTGCTTACAACTTGAAGCTTTTAGTAAGCATTTTTACAATTCCTTCTCTAGTGAATTTTGATCTACTTATATCATAGTCATTTAAAAAAATACTGGTTCAAATAAACCTGAGTTATCAATGATTTCAGTGAGGCAGAATTCCCAGCAGTGTCATCTTGTTCCCTGCTTTTGCATAGACAAGAGAAGGAGCCCCTGGTACGAAGAAGTGCGCTGCTTAAGCAGCTATGGGTGTAGTGTTCAGGCACTGTAACAACACCATTGCCCTCGGGACAGATTTTCCTGCCATTTTTGCAATCTCTGTTGCTTGCTTCTGTCAAAAAATCATGTGTTTTAACTTCAAAGAGATTTTTTGTTGGTAATGTTTTTATTTTTGGCATGAATACAAATACAATGGACACATTCTGCTGTACAAGTACACTAATATGTAGGCTTACATCAACAAAACATGTAACATTATAAAAAGGACTGGAAGGAAAACGTACATGCAGACATTTTGCTTTGCTTAGTGGTATTGTATTGTTTTCCAGAGGAGACAGACATTAATGGAAAGCCACTGAAAAATAAAAACTGAAACACTGCTTGTGTTTGCTGCCTGTTAACCCCAATATGTGATCTAACAAGGTTCACATTACAAGCACTCATCGAGGCAGCATGGTTTAGATATTTTTGTACATACCTTCAAATATTCTTTTTAATAGAGGTTATTTCCAACTCTTGCCCCCTATAGCAAGAAACATTTTATCTATGTAAAAGACTAATACAGAGGTATAATTAATACTAGAAAGCTTTGGAATATTAAACCTGTAAGCCAAAATATTGTTCCTGGAAAATGGAAAGTGAGGTAGTTTTTATTAGATGCAGATGCAAACACATTTGCACACGTGAACCTAGCTGCATGAACAGGTGAGAGCATTTCAGTCTGCTTTCAATATGTATTTCTTGCAGTACTCTGTATGTGTGGACAGATGAAATGCTGTCTTTCTAGAACCATGGAATATATAAATTGGAGTATATAAATGTTTGAGGCATCTTTGGAATTCGTTGAATAAGTTTCTTCCTCCTTGCTGCCACATTCTGATTAATAGCTTTCACATACGTTGCTTTTTTTAGGTGACAATATTATCACATCTTAGTTTTTAATTTAACTACTGCTAGGAGGAGCAACATTTCAGGCTTCCCTGTCAACATCTTGAAATCTAAGGCCAAAAGTTGAAACTTCACATTTAAAAATACTGGTGAGATTGTTTGCTTTGCTGCATATTAATTTGAGTTAGCGTACCACACCAACATGACACAACTTAATGTTTAACAATATTAACCACAGTGCACATGGATCATTAGGTTCATTCGTATCAAACAAGAATTGTGCCATTCTGTTTCAGGGACTGCATGTGTTTGGCCATGCTGTAGTACTTGGGGTACTGCTTGGAGAGTCGAGGTTATCTGCTAATGTGCATATCTTAGGAAGTTACAGGCAACCTTAGTGTAAAACAAGGGTTCATGGAATGTATTTCATTTCATTCCCTCAGATTTGTCTTTCCTAAGTTGCAAAGTGGTAAAAGGTGAAAGTTCTCTAATAACCCCTTGTATTCAGTGCAGAGAACAATGATATTTAAGATACATTTTGATGAAGACCTCATTTCAGGGTCTAGAATGCACAGGTACTTTCCTTTTTCTTCCCGTGTACAGAACTAAGAACATGGGCTGAATGGGAAGATGCTGAAAGTCAATGTGTTTGTCTGAAGATGGTACTATAGAAAGAGTTGCCTTGTTTGCCATTACAAATTCTTTACCTAATGTTCAGACTTTCCATATAGTCATTAAAGCTTTTTTTGTTGGTTATAAATACAATGATGCTTAGCATTTATGTTATGCTCTTTGTTTTCAAAGTACTTTCCATATAAAATCTGTTTGCTGCATTTGTCGTTCCTATATGAGTATTTATAATTCTTGCTCTGCTAGTGAAGCTGTTTGGCTGTGTCTGAGAGCAGAATTTGACTCCAACTAATTCTCATGTTACCTTTATAAGGAAAAGTACTCATCCTGTAGTAAAGCTAAAAAAAGGACGGCAGCACAGCAGAAAGGATTGTCCGTGATCGCAGAGGGAACTAACTGGAATCAGGAAAAAAGCACATGACAAAACATTAATTTCTAGGCCTATGAGCAAACCACAGTTCTACTCTCTCTCTCATATACTTAAAATAAATAGTTGTCAAAATAAGTAGTGCATTTTATAACAAAACTGTCCTAGACTTAGCCTGGCTGCAACTATGCACCCATTAGTGTTATGAAAAAGAAAAAGAAAACGACGGGAAGTTAAAAATTATACATATTTTAAAGTAAACAAAAAACCCAACAACACTTCTAAATTTCATATTTTATCTAAAGAAGGAAAAACAGAAAGGCAGGATTTGCCCTTTGTAGATGTTGTTGCTGGTAAGAGCGCAGATTAGATGTTGATTTCTTTGACTGAACACTAAGAAAATTAATCACTGCAGATCCCAATGTGCTTTGAACAAGAAATATTTTCTCAAATGTGAAAATCATCGTCGTCATGCAGTGTCAGCAGCTCGTCACAACCTACAGGGTTTCTCTATGACACAGTACTCTATGTTCACCTAGAAGACTTGGTTCAGAAGGCTTTTACATTGCTAGTTGGTACCTAAAGCATCAGCTTCAGCCTCATCTGTATGTCCAGATTGTGAACATTACTAGCTGAGCACAGTGGGTGAATTCACTGTGCAACACATCTGTGTGATGATGGTAACACTGAAGTGCATTTGAAGGTGTTCCCATTCTTTTTGGTAAGACAGAGATGAAAAATTATTTGCTGTTTTACAGAGACCTGTGTGTTTCCTATTCAACAAACTTACTTTATTTACATGAAGTATAGCCCAGAACCATATGGTTGGGTGAAGAATGGTGCTCACTCTAGTGACTGGCTGCCAACTAGGCATCCTCATATTTGCTACTCTATACTGTCAATACAGTTAGAACCCACCGTTCTCTTGTCACTCTACAAGTTTTCATGAACTGCATGCAATCAGCAAAAGTAGCTGCAGTTTACTATGTATTTGTAGAAACCCTAAAACAACTGGGCCTGGTTTGACTGTGGCCTAAAGGCCCCCGTTGTGAAAAATTAAAAGAAAACTATTAAACTCCTGCGCTCATTGGAAGCTTTTTCTCTGTGCTGTGTCATGCAAGATCTGGATGAAGATCTTTTTTCTCAATGCAGCTGAATAGTATAAAAATTGCTTACATATTGAAGCTAAAATATAAAAAAAATAATTAGGTTACAAATTAAGAAACTATAACATTTAATGAAAAAGATGATGTCCTAAGTGGCACCATTAACACATAACTCATAGTGTGGCATTACACAGACTTAAATCTGAGTATATAAGGTAAAAGATGGAGCCAGAAAATATGTCTTCTCACCTACCATTCATCTCCTGAAGCTTGCATGTAAGACAGGGGAAGGACGGAGAAAATGGTTTGTGGTGCTACAAATGCACACAGTAACAAGATCCAGACACATGGTTCCAGAAGACTGATAATGATATGTACAGTGGTGCATACATAAAGCGGTATACAGCTGTCTACACAGTAGTTCTTTCCCTTGCTTCCCTCCCTCCCCCAGCACCAGGTACTGATGAGGAGTGATTGAGAGATATAAATACTGCAGTAACGCACTCTGCACAGGTTGACTTTCAGCAGAAATGTTTGATATTGTCACGTGGCTCCTTCTTGGCACTGCTGCAGGTTGAGATTCTCTGTTTTGCGCTTGACAGATATTTCTCCTTGAATGTCTTTGTGATGCCTCTGTGTACATTGTGGTCGGTAGTGTTTCATGCATCCATGGATGCCGCTGGATTATTTCCTCCTGCAGAATCCATATTCCAATGCCAGGTCAGGAAACAAAGAACTCCATATGCGATGGGTTACTTTCTGTGCCTCCGTACCTTGGTCTGTCCTCCTCAACTCCTGGGCCAACTTTAGCACAAGCACAATCCATAGGAAAGCATAACTGATGTGCAGCATTCGAATGGTCCAGAAATTGGAGTGATCATTCTTAATATCAAAAGTAGTACATGATGAACATCTGTAGGACAGTACGATAGTAAGGAATGATATCCTGTAGGTAGCTACCGTTTTGTTTTCATCACTGAGAAGAGGCGAGAGCTTCTTCAAATGACAGGCATCACAGCTGTCCATTTGGCCTTTGTCCAGTATGCTGCAGCCTTGTGCTTCAGCTTGCTTTTGGTTTTATCACCCATTCTGCCTGAGGATTCGCACGGTAAACATCTAAAATGTATGCATCTGGATCCAAACAATGCTGACCTGAAACAAAAATTGAAAGCCACAAATCATATCATGTTTTGAGTGCACTTGGTGAATAGGATAGAGCTATGTTAAAATATCCTTGAGTGCAACTCCACTGTGCAAAAAGTGCATTTAGAGTACCCAGCTAGTGTCTTGCCTGGCTACAGAGAGCAGCCTAGGTAAATGTGCCAGTGATTTTACTTGATGTGATTCATAATTCACTTCCACTTCCAGGCAGGATGCGTTGCATTACTGAGTTCTGGATGTGGCATTTAGTCAAATGTTAAACAAATTGTTACAGTTTCTCTATAACCATTAACAACACTGTTAATGCTACTGGGCTCGAATTAAAACTCCGACTTAGCTTCTGCTCTGTTTTTAAATGCTCAAAATGTTCTGCAAACTTTGTGTTCTTAGCTACATAGGAACTTGCAAGATAAATGCAGACTACAACAAAGTTTCAAAGTCTGGAAGATTGAGGGTTTCAGCAGGTGGAAAATCATAGGAAAACAGGAATTGTCTTTGCTGTGTTTCCCACAATTTGCTTATCACATAGAAAGAAGCATTTGGTGCTTGTTAATTGGATAATAAGGGAATAAAAACTTGAGTTAAGTTGATTTGTTGGATTATATTGGATTTATGCTGGGTGATGCAGCCATTTAACTGGTGAGGTTATGCTGCTGTGACACAAAGGATTATAGTAAAATTTTTGTCCAGTTACTTAAAATGTCATTAAGGTCCTAATGATTTATAAAGTAAAACTTCATAAAGGAATTAATGCATCATCAGTTTTATAAGGTACCTTGGAACATCTAGGATTATAAAAATCATTTTAAACTGGCATATAAATTAAATGTTCAGATTTCTTTTTCTGCAAGTGCATCTTAGGAATACTTGAGGTTGCTTCAAAAGGTCTTATGATCCTCTTCTGCATTAACATCTCTTGGCCATCCTGTTTAGTGAGCCAAAACAAATCAATAACCAGGTGAAGCACTGGATGAGCATATCTTCAATAATAAAGACTTTGGTTCTTGACTGCTTTTGAATAAGTCTGTAGCATACGTTCTGTAATAATTTTACAGAGATTATTTAGAAATGACAGGTTGTAGATTGGGCACATAGGAACCTTATGAGGTTCAACAAGGGCAAAATCAGTGTTCTATACCTGGAGAGGAGTAACTACATGCACCAGTTCAGACTGGAGGCTGACTTAAAACGGAAAGGAAAGGAGCTCTGCAGAAAAGGAACTGGGTGTGCTGGTGAATGACGGGTTGGCCGTGAGCCAGCAGTGTGCCTTTGTGGCCAAGAACACCAATGGTATCCTGGGGTGTTAAGAGTGTGGCCAACAGGTCGAGGGTGGTGATCCTCCCTCTTTGCTCTGCCCTGCTGAGGCCACATCTGGAGTACCGTGTCCAGTTCTGGGCTGTTCAGTTCAAGAAAGACAAGATAATTTCAAGCTAGCAAAGGGTCACAGAGATGATTTAGGGGGCTGGAGCATCTCTTTCTGAGAAAAGGCTGAGACATCTGGGACTGTTCTGTCCAGAAAAGAGTAAGCTGAGGAGGGATTTTATCAGCGCTTATAAATGCCTAAAGGGATATATTCAGTGGATGGAGCCAGGTTTTTTTACTGTGATGCTCAGTGACAGACCAAAGGGAAATGGGCACAAACTGGAACACAGGAAGTTCCATTTGAACATGAGGAAAAACTACTGTGAGAATGACAGAGCACTGGAACAACTGTCTCCCTGGAAGTATTCAAGATCTGCCTGGCCATGTTCCTGTACGGCCTGCTGTAGGGGACTGCTTTAGCATGGGGTTGGCTCAGTGATTTCCAGAGGTCCTTCCAATCACTGCAATTCCATGGTTCTGTGATTCTGGGAACCTAGAAGAACTGAGTTTCATCAAACAGCTGATTAAAGACTGTGGGAATCCAGAATTTCAGTATGAAAAGATGAAGGAGAGGGTCAGGACTGTTCAATATAAAATTAAAATTTATTTTTCATTTTTTAGGCCAGGAACCTATGTGGCAAGTCACTGCTGTTATTACAGAAATGTCACTGCATGCAACACCGAAGAAGAACAGCTCACTACTGTGAGGAATTTGCAATATAAATAACGTACATGTATGAATACAAATATATTAGACCCATATAGGCAGAAGTTGAATTCTCAATTCTGTATTTTATCTGTAAGAAGTTAACACTTAAATGCAATGAGAAAAAAGGAAAAGACCAGTGAGAGGGGGAAAATGTATTTTTAAGAGAAAGACCAAGAAGCTCTTAACCATGGAAAATGCTCAGTTATGAGTGCGAGAGAGGTAAATGAAAGGTCAGATGAGATTGGCAGGGCTGCAGCAGCCACGGGGGGTCCTGCTGGGATCTTGCCACCATGTCACCCCAATCCGCGGGGTGCCTCTCCAGCCAGCAGGCATTGTTACATCAATTTTATGAGATTTTGGATCAGCTTCCCTGCAGATGGGCAGGAGAAAACCAGCTGTGTGAAAATAGCACTGATCTGGAGTGTTTTAAAAGCCTAAGGACATTCTGAGTCAAATTTTCAAATAGACCTACCTATATTTCCTCCAACTTCATGTAAACTTTGGATCTGGCTTCTCACATTCTGTGACAATCCACGGCTAGGAGAGAAAAAAAGTTGTGGGTTTTTTTTTTTTTTTTTTTTTTTTGGTGTGTGTGTGTGTGTGTGTGTGTGTGTTATAGCTACTGCCTATCAATTGCCACTTATACTAAGCAGAAATTGATATTTTTTCCCTCTTCTCACAAACTTATTTATCAAAAGCAAGGACTTCAATCAAACGAGCAGAATATATGTGCTGTAGAGGTATTTTACCATGCAGAGTTAACTAAGCTTTCTATTACACTATTGTTTATTTACAGAACAGAATTAATGCAATAATGTCAAAAGACTCTGCAAGAAAGACTTTCAAATGCAATTTGCCATTTCCCATAGCAGTTAATAATTATCACTCTACATAAGTAACACCATGAATGTTTTATGGGCAGATATAAGACAATTTTGTATTCTTTAAGTGGTATGCCTATAAAATGTATCTTTCTGGTAGTGGCATCATAACAGAGGACAGGCTAATTCTGTGTGAGAGCCAATTATTAGTAGAATATAAAGAAGAAAATCAACGGTTAAAATTTCTTTGACTGATGTAACCATAAATTAGCGATTTTGGATTCTAAAAAGAATTCTTGTAACACAACGAATCTCTGAGAAGAGGACAATCTATTCGTTAATGGTTCTGGCATTATTATTCAGGAAAAACAAAATGTTCCGTTTTACCCACCTGTTTTCACAGTGGAATCGAGCCAGGATGTCTTTGGCTTTTGTTTGGCTGTTGAGTTGAATTGCCATAGAGACTTTTGAATGCAGTGGTGCATAAACTCTTATCACCCCCTCCGGTATGTCAGACTGCAGGTATGGGGGAAAAGTGACAGCTCCCTAAAGTCAACATTCAGTAGAGTAAGTCTGAGGCACATATTATTGTAACTCCATTCAGAAGCAGTTCTGCAACTCTTTAGATTCTGCTTACAAAAATCACTGGCAGGGATTCACTCAATTATTTAAAAAAATACATTTACAAACATACAATTGTACATTTATAGGTACAGTATAGTAAGCTACAATAGAAAGACAAAAATGACTTAGTAAGCATCACTTAATCCCATTAATTTTAGTTATTTTCAATAATATTTTGAGTCAAGTTGTTATCTGAGATTTTTTAAAGTTGTTCTGTTAACACTGGCAGCGGGCTAACAGCTTAATCAAAAATACCTAAAAATGCATTTAGGACTGCCTGCACTTCCATTTGAAGATGGAATTCTCTTAGGCATGAAAAAACCACAGTTTTTCCCCATTCTAGAACTTCAGCTAGATCAAAGTTTATGTACAGTAAAATATTGAAGTAGCATATGGTTTCTGTTAATTTGCAATTTGACCTTGTGTAGGGTTCAAACAATCATCTATGAAGTTTATGCACTCTTCTATGATTAATGGCAGATAAATCAATTAGCAAGGTTTGCATTCCAGTCCTAATCCAGTTAATACCAAGCTGAGAGAGCACAATTGTCTCTCCAGTCTCTGTAATTTAGGACATCTGAGACCCAGGGTTTGTGTTAAGTGCTCTCCAAATTCAACTCAGTTATGCAAACAGAGTTTTCCTCCAATTTACCTTTCATAATTCAGCTACCTGACATGGTTAGTTTCCTTTTTATTAGATGCAAAGTCAATTACTGTGATCAATGGACTTATGTTTCTGAACGTTCAGGGCTGCAGTAATGGATGCTCCTTAGAAGCTCTCCCTATTCTTGCTCCAAACTGAGGATAGTTTTTGACACAGAGCAGCCTATACCAACATTTTAAACAAATACCTACATCTGCATCTGTGTCATAAATATATTTCCTTCCCAAAGTAAATTTCAGTCAATGCTGGCAAATGAGTTCTTCAAAAAGTTGATTTAGCATGGATACACCACTCATAACATATCTTTTTCCATTTTACTCAGACATTTTCTTCTGCAGTTTATCTTTTTTCTGTGTTAGGTTTCTTTATTTCTTGCCATTTCTTATAATCACTACTTCCTACTCTGTTTTTCCTTCTTTCTTTCTTCCACCCTATTTTTCAATATCTATAGGCACCTCTACTAGTCCCTTGGTTACTCTTCTAATTCACCAATCTCCATTCTTTCAAATGACCATGAAAAGACGTAAAGGTTTTCTGTGTGCACAAGTTGCTGTGTTGCCTCATTTATATGTTACACCTAACCTGTATGTTCGTCTCAGGTCCTGTCTATTCAAGTAGCATTCATCAAATTAAACTCCATATGCAGTCAATGGAGAAAAGCTGGTGGCTTTAAGACGTCCAGAAGATCTTTATATCAGACTTTCCTAAGCCTGAGCTGGATTTAGAGATCTGAAAATCCTCCACTGTGTCCCTCTCTCACCACTGACTGTGGTGAGCACCAACAAAGACCTGAGGCCAACTACTTTGTCAGATGCTTAGAATTTAGAACCAGTTTTGGTGCCTGTGTTAGGGAAACTATTCTCTTTCTGCTTAGGAAGTTAGTGCAGAACTATAAAACCAAAATTTGCAAGGAGAAAATTATTGAGCGACTGGGGCATGGGTGAGTGTATCTACTCCTAATATGGACTATCCTTCTACCCAGCCGCAGATCCATGTACTTTTAGATCACCTGCAGATTATTGCCATAAAGTACAGTCCATGTATGGTCATCTTCTTGTAAAACAGGTATAAAAACAACATGTGTGTGTAACAGTTTATAGCTTGGGCTCCTATAAACCTTTCTGCCGGCATCACTTTTTCTGTCAGTCCCCCATGCTTTGTCTTATGAAAATATTAGACTAAGAAGCATGTCTCTTAAGACAGCTCCCAAATAAGCTTATTTTCTATAGGAAAATACACAAGCTGCTGTCTGACTGCAGAGTCAAAGGATTTTCTGTTTTAAAGATTTAAACACATTCACTCATACTGCTTTTCCCTGCTAAAATGTATTTGATTTAAATACAGTTGAAGAATTTATCTACATGAACCATAATTACTTGAGAGCAAGTTCCTTGCTGTATGAGGGACTGCACAAGTAAATCATGTTGACAGTCACTGCTGTGAGGAAGAAGCCTCTATGGTAAATGAGATGCAATAGGCAAACTTAGGTCAACCACTTAAAAAGGGTTAGAAGATGGCTTGTATGGCAGACTGAGCAGAGTTAAGGAGAAAACTAGAATGAAAGTCTGACATTGGTCTCACTAACTGTGGGTGAGGGCACTTAAAATAGAAATAAAATTTGAGGAAATATTTAAAGAAGCAATAGCTTTATACACATCTATAGGAATTTCCTCCCCACTTCCCAGATGCTTTTATGAGATAGGAGAAGAGGAACATTAATTAAGGCTGCCATTTGAAGATGTTATACTTCTATCATACCTCTGGTCTTTCAGGTCTTTCTCTCTCCATGGTCTTTCTCCTTAGAAGTTTTCTCACTCCTTTGTCAAACATCAGCTGCCTCTTGCTGTTGTTTATTGCTGCCTCATTCATTTTCCTCACCTGGGAAATCAGAAAGGATGGAACCTAAAGGGAGAAAACCAAAGCTGAGAATAGGCAGTAGATTTTTCCCCCTCCTAAAACTGTGTTTGGTTTTTAAAAGTTTGCCAATTGGAATTCATCAGAAGCTCTGTTCCCAGAAAAATACGTAGAATTAGCAGCTCTCTCTAACAATCCACCTTCAGTGAAACTAGCTATCTTTCATATCATATCAATTTTTTAGCTATATATGCTGTTGGAGGAACTTTATTAATTGGCTGTTTTTATAATCCTCAAAGATTCTGGCATGCAGAAAAGAGTTGAGTGTGTCAGTACTGCGCCAACTTTCGGAAGACAGCAAGTAGTATGTACTTTTGGCCCATGTTATTATGGACTAGACTTTAAGAAGTCTTCTTAGTCTCATTTCTTTCAAGTCTCACCTAGGCATCTAGATGAGATCTTACTCTTACACATTTTCCTATAGAATCATAGAATTGCTCAGGTTGGAAAAGAGCTTAAAGATCATCAAGTCCAACAAAAAATATATGTATTTATAAATATAAATATTGGTGTTGGATAAGTACCTCTTGAGGGTAATTTATGATAAAGAGCATGCCTTAGGCAAGGTGAATCTTCCAGAGGCATCTGCCACTTTATTTCATTCCAACTATGTGAGACTTCAGCTAGTTTCTAAAGAACAGCTAAATTTCTTCTAGGAAGGCCAGTTCACTCTGATTTCTACACATTTAGATGTGTAGCAAAATCCTTTCCCATACTGGAGCCATAAAGAGGGAACCAGCATTGCAGTATTACTTACTGTCCACAGGATATCCTGGTACCGAATTAAAAGCCGCACAATGTGTGCAGTGGTGGCAGCTGCTTGCATTTCTTGTTGGTTTGCACGTTTCCCTTTGTAGATGAAGAGGTTTGGTGCAACAATCATAGAAACATTCCACAAATTCATTTTATTTTTTCCTTCATTAGCAACCACCTTCTTCAGGAACTGAAGGAAAGCCTGGAAAAATAGCAGTTATTATGCTCAGTCTCACAAAATATTTTACCTAATTGCAGTATTTTCAAACACATGACAAAGCTGCCATGCTTGCACTTGGAGGTGAAATTCAGGAGATTTTGCATTACAATTTGAATTACTGTGATATTTGCTGGCACAGCCACCCATCAACCACAAATATACAGTTCATTAAAATACACTATAATAAATTCTGTGCCACTTAGGCACATATCAAAACCAATGAAAGTCAAGTAGTGTGTCTGCAGCAAGACTCGGAACTCTGTAATACAGGAAAGATATAGCATTATTGCAAGGAAATATCTAATTCCTTCACAGATTTCAAGGTGTCATTTTTGATGTATCTGGTCAAGGCTCTTAGGATTCAATCATCAGGGTGATGGGCCTCTCCTCATACATACACCAGTGCTATATGTGATACAATCCGAGGTATTTCTGCCAGCAATCCTCAGACTTTTGTTCTGGGATAATGAAAGAAAGAAATGCTTTGTGGCTGTTCTTTAATGCCACTTTTACCCATGCATGACAGATTCACAGAATCACAGAATGGCCAGGGTTGGAAGGGACCTCAAGGATCATGAATCTCCAACCTCCCTGCCACATGCAGGGCCACCAACCTCCACGTTTAATGCTGAACCAGGCTGCCCAGGGCCCCATCCAACCTGGCCTTGAACACCTCCAAGGACGGGGCATCCACAACCTCTCTGGGCAGCCTGTTCCAGTACCTCACCACTCTCTGGGTAAAGAATAAAAGGAAATGTTTCACTTTTGGGCAATTAATTCAGAATTTTACATGACTGACTAAATAGGACGGATTGCATTTGTGGTTAGAATTGGGGTCTGCCAATGAGTCCTTTTGAAACACCATTAAAACCATTATCTTTGTACCCCAATGTTTCAATTGAAACATTTTTACATACTAAATAACTACAAAACAGAAAATATGCTGGAGAAATTTCTAAATTATCATTTGTTTTGTAAGAAAAAATATAACTACGATTATCATAGTTTGCAAGAAGAGACACTACTTCATTTCTATAAACATTTCTATTTTTGCTTAAAAGTCTAGTAATAATTAAAGCTAATCTCCCAGCATGTTTTATATATACTTCTCCATACGTTGGTATAAGAAATAATCCTCATTGTTCACAGTGGACTTAAAAGACCTTTAAGCACTTTAAATTGAACTATTATTCATGTCCTATATGCATTCATTACTACTGACAAAGAAGGTACCTAGTTTCATAAATCTATATCCAAACTGGCCAATGAGAGATCTTCTGGAACTGGGGACTTCCAGAATCTTGATGAGCAGAAGACCTGAGGGAACACCCGTGGTTCCCAGGCAGCAAATCCACCCAGATTTTTTTTTTTAAGTGGAAACAAATCCAAAGATCCAACCAGAACCTCTTAGGGTCAGGACACAGCTCCAAGTAGATCTGGGAGCTGCAAAGAACCCAAAATGCTTGTAGCCTCTGTGATTGTAATTGTGAATGGTAAATGGATGTGGGTACTGTGAAGCAAAACAGCTGAGGCTGAGTCCCTGATATCCATGCTGTAGATATACATTTCAGGGAGTTTTACTTTGGACTAACTCCTACAGTCTAGTTCAGTGAACTGGAAGTCTTACAGCCCTTGGGGTGCCCCAGATGAGTTCCTGGGGGAGCTGCTTCTCTTTTGGTTTCAGCCCAGTGAATTTCAGTTATACAAAAACCTCAGAAACTGAATTTTCTTCATCCTAACTATCCAATTTTGAAATCCATATTATCCATATTTTGAAAGCTTCAGGCTAAATGGTGTCTGGGAGCTAACACAAGGAATTAGACACTTTCAGTAACTGTTTCTAATGTCCTGTAAAGGAAATTCCAGCCAGGGAATAGGAACGGCTCTTCAAGGAAATTATAAGAAACACAGATGAGAGCTTTCACAGTGCAGCATCTGAACACTGACTGTTAAGAAAAAAAAGTGTCTCTCATTTAAAAGTCATAGACACCACAGATGGCAGGTGATAGTGAACAACAGACTCACCTTAGCTGTGTCCCTGTTGGCTTCAGGCAGAAGCATGATCAACAGATGCAAAGCTTGAAGCTGTAACTTGATCTTGGGGATTTCTAAGAACATGAATAATTAATAATTTTGAAATCTCATTTACAATCACTTTGTCCTAAAAACCTAGTTGCCCAGACTTTCCAGATACCCAGCAGCCGCTGGCCAGTTCAGACTAACATGTTTAGCTAGTAATTAGAACTGATTTCTTTCTAAAATGTAAAATCAGCACAGTGTTTTTTTTTCCTCTTCATCATCCTGGATCTTTGACAGAGAGGGAGACAAAGACTATATAAAACTCTTTCTAAATAAAAAATAGCCAATATTTTTCAGTGTTAGTCAGTTTCTCTCTGACGTCCTAGTCAAAATGTGTTGTACATGGGTGAAGCTTTTCTGCTCTTTCAAGTGGAAATGGATATTTATTTTCAGAATTTTTTCATACTAATATTTTTAAGTGAATGCTTGTTACAAAATCCTATCATATTTTCAACAGTTGGTATATATTCATCCAGTGCAGTGTCCACTAGAGCTGGGATGGAGACAGTGCTTACTCAATCTATCCTTTACTTCCATTCTAGGCGGATGAATGAGGCTGTGGGAAAAATAAGTGTCATGTTGATATTGTCAGAGGGAATACAGTAACTCTATTTTGTTCAGATACTTCCTATTTCTCTGCATTTTCTAATAGCAAAATAGAGAGAAAATGCTCTTCACTGCATGCACTCTGGGACTCATAAGAAGCCTACTCAGGTATGTAAAGGTTGCAGCAAAGGATCATCACCTCTCTGTGACCTTTAAAACTACCTCAATGGAGACATAGAAAATTTGGCTGCGATCTTATATAAAAGTTCAGAATTTTCTTCACTAATTTGCCTAATAAATTCACTATCCTGACTGATACTCTCATACTGTCCTTGCTCAAGTGAATTTACAGTATAATGAATAGGTATTGCAAGGTACTACTGCATTCTTCCTGGAAGAGAAATGAGCAAAATGTACTGTAAATGTCACAGAGTGTATTTTCAGGGTGTGTATGCTGGAAACAAAATGAGGTTGCCTGAGGTCATTTGTGATCATATTCATCTTGTATGAATATTCTGACCTCAGCATAAACTTCAAGAAAAGTAAAATGGAGTTAATAGTATATTAAACAAAAGGAAGTGACTTGATCTTACCTTGCAGAAAATTTCATTCGTGAAATCTATATTTTGTGTCTATTAGATTGTATATAAAAGACATTGCTCAATCATTGTTTGCTCACAGGTTTCAATCTCATGTTAAACAGTTGTGTCACTCACACAGTACTATAGGTATCATTATCTGCATATTTTTTTCTCTTTAAAAAGGAAACCACGCAGACAAATTAAATGCTTAGGTGAGGCAGTCTGATTTTTGTCTTTCTACTTCAGTTTATACGAGCTCCTTTTTTTTTTTTTTTACCTACTTTCCACTAAGGTGATAAAAGCAGGCAGATATTCCACAGTGAATAGTGGACTTGGGAGTTCTCTTATAAACATTTTAAGCAGTCCTGCTGCATCATTGTTTCGTACTTGATCCCAGTCAAATGTGTCTTCATAAAATTTTGTCTCAAGTTCTTGATGGAGATTCTGAAAGATAAAAGGAACACCTGATTCTCAGATATTGCTTCTGGCCTGGTAGTTTTATATCACTTCAGAAAATCTTTTACAAACCACAGACATATTTACACCACAGTTGAATTAAAATAGCTCTAAACCAGTTGTGATCCAGGTACAGCCACATGGAGTTCAGAGATGGTTAACAAGTGAGACTCCAGGAAATACTTTGAAATGCAGGTTAAATTTGGTTTGCCATAGCTAGATTTCCACCAGTGACACATTTGAACTACTTTAAAGCACGACAACTTTGTGCATTGTTTAGTGAGATTTTTAGCACAATAATTTCTTTTTATTTAAAGCACTCCTCCAGAGGTTTTGGCCTTTAAATCACAAAGGATTTGCATGTCTGGCTTCAGCATCAGTGAAACTGCTAGACAACCTGTTGGCACTTCAACCAAGGGGCTTTGAGTGAATGGTTTGAAATTAGGTTTTCTTTTCTTCAGAAGGATGCTTTGTCTTAGGATAGCCACAATTAATTTTGATCACTTTGTAGTGATCTCCTTACTTTGAGAAAGCCTGCACTTGAAGCATGCCAAAAACAAAATAAATTAAAAAAAAAAAAAAAAAACAAACCAAAAAACCAAAAAACCAAAAAACAACCAACCCTCAAAAACATAAGAGAAAGCTCAGATAGATAAAATTGATTGTATTATTTTGGGTACCCAGTCATTCCTGTTGTCCCGTGTTACCATTTTGCTCTATAACAAAGCTCTGGAGGGTAACAAATTGACGTTTCACATGTGTATGAGTGGGAAATATTTGATAAGGTTCATAGAAGAAGCAGAATTTGATTTCAGATACAGATTACTGTTTGGAAAATGAAAGTTCCATTAAAAAAATTGTTGGCTAAGAATGAAGTATTTTTTTTTCTAACGTAAAGCTAACCATGAATAATACAGCTTTCACAATTATTACTGGCCAAACACTGCCTTATCCATAAGAAGTCTGTTAATGTTTCTTTGTGAGACTATTTTTGACAAAACGTATCTGTTGCTGATATTCAGGTTTCAGGTCATGTTTTTGTCAAATGTACATTACTACAATGCAAAAATAAATAAATAAATACATAAAAATAATCCAATTGGACAGAAAAGCTTTGAAAAATGAATTCTCTTTACCATGCCTCACATAAATAGAAGGAAATTACATATCAAATATGGTCAGTGAAGTGAAATGGCTGGCAGAAACAGAAATAGAGGGTCATTCAGGATTTGGTATACAATGTTACAATCTCATTTTTTGCTAGGGCATTTTACAGGTTAAAATCTAAGTGACCTCAGCTTCCTCCATTCACATCCTTTGCACGTAATCTACACAAACACCTGAACTAACTTTTCTTTTGGTAACTTACTGGGAAATGTGGAATAGAACTCTTCACCTCATCAAAATCACAGAAAGAAAGGAGAACTACTCAACATTTTTTCTTCTGAGAAAGAGGTAAAAGTTAAAAGCAAGATTTTTGAAACACAAACACATATGTGTACACATATATCTACACGGGTACTTATGTATAGATATGTTTATACACACACATACCTAAGTGCTTTTAAAAAAACTTTTTGGCCACTTTTTCACTATGGCTGATAGAACGGTAGATTACAGCTCACTGGAGCTTTCATTACAAATTAGATTAGACACAGAGGAAAAGTTGTATTTATTTCTTCTATCCTTTGTTTTATAGAAGAGTGACCTTAAATCACTTCCATATGCCTTCTCTTTCTCAAAATAAGACCGAAATAAAACTGGAATGCCCTCAAATCCTAATGTCATAATAACATATGAAGGCTTTGAAGAACGAAATCTGGATCTGCTTTGAAGAAAATTTCCTTTTGCTGGTTGGGTTGCTGGACGGACTTAAGTGAAGACAAAACCCAAATAATTTAAAGTGTTTAGGTGGACATCCATTACCAGAAAGATATAGATAAAATCATACCTCAGACAGTCTCCTTGGGTAAAGGCAGTGAATAAAAAGTGAACAAGACAAAAAAACAATATATACAGAAAAATAAGAAAGTCCTTAATTAGGTAGGGCAGAGCTCTGCTGTGAGATCTCCCCAGAAATGTCAGAGAAATTTAAGATTGTGTGAAATAATACTTTAAGAATTTTTGTGAAAAAAAAATGAGGAATCCAAAAAGTACAGGGTTACAGGGAATTAGGAGCTCTCTTCTTTTATAAATCTACAATGTGAAAGGGAGTTGGGATGCTGCTGCCTATCTTTGGTGCTTTTCACATGCTGCTTCTTCCTGATGATCTCTACCCATTGATGTTTAGTAATCTCTAACCTTATTAGTTGTGTTTTTACTACCATTTTGAGATTTTGAGCCTTCCTGCTACATTTAGAAAATCAAGACTAGTTATCTTGAAGATGAGAAAGTGAAAATGGGAAGTTATCATTATAAATTGCTAGAATCATATTTTAAAAAATTTAAAAAAAAAATTTTAAAAAAAAAAAAAAAAAAAAAAAAAGCAAAAACATGCAAGAAAACACCATCAAGCCAAAGAAAAAAAGAAAATGGAAAAAAGGTAGACACTGCTACTAAACCCATAAAAATAAAAACCAAATTAATTTCCTAACTTCTTATCTTTCCTCTGTCACAGGCTTCCAGCTCCTAGAATTTAGTTAGTCAGCAGAAACATTTCCGAGTGTTACTGTACTGCAGTGGCAGAGCCAAGGTTACTGGGCACCAGATAGCCTGTGTTCATGGCCTGTAAATAGCCTGTGAAAATACAGCATTCTAGGCTGCTAAACAGTGATCACAGGCCAAATTTCTCTCACTTGGAAGATGAAATTTTAAGATCATAGAAGACAAATGAGAAATAAAATGGCACAAAAAATTGTTAAAATGACATAGAATAAGTTCTTTATCTTAAGTTAGCTCAGTTGGCAACTCTGTATTCTGAAATAAATTAAGGAGATAAGATCACAGCAATTTTGGATGACAAAGATAAACTGAAAAGATCACTCAGTGTTCAGCTCATTTCAGCATCAAGACTGTGCTTTATATAGAACATTACCAAATGCAAAGCAACAGACCACATGCTCTGTGATTTATTGGTTCCCAGGAACCAATTTAACCTTTTGCTGATAGAGCTGGAAATGTCGATCTACACACATCACTATTTCTGTGCAGTGTGCATTTGTGTGTGCTGTGTTATTTGACATAGAAGCTGTGTTCCATGAGACAGGAAACTGGCACAGACATCTACCTTAACCCTGGAGGCAGATCCAGGCACTCGAAGAATTCCTTCAGTTTCTAAACCAGTTTCCTCAAGCTTGAGCAGCAACTGAAAAAGAGGCAAACCCAGAAAAATACTCAGAAGTATTTAAAAATGCCATTAACTATTTTTAATATAAGTCTACTTGAAACAAACCTGAAAAAAAAAAAACAACAAGCCTTTCAACATAATCTGCTAATGAAAAAAAGCTTAGGTAAATAAACCTTCATAATTCAATCTCTGTATTCCTGACTCTGAAATCTGATGTAGAGAGAGTACAGAAAATTGATAACACAACAGGCGTCTCTGTCCTTGATGTGACACTTGACACTGCTATAGAACAAGTAACATATAAATGCATATGCTCTTTTATTAATACATTTATGTACTATATATTAAGTTACACTGGGTAAAAGTCAGTGGTGTTTTGAGGAAAACTCAACCTCTGAGAAATGCTTAAGTTTCTCCCTGAGAAGCACAGTGGAATGGATTATAGATAACATGTGTCCCTGTGACCTAAGAACTCAGATTAGCAAATGATCACAGGATATTTTTGTTTTGAAATTTCTGTGAATATAGAAATATGATTTGCACTCTAACTTGTTATTAAAAATAATGTTTTGGTTGGACAAGATTTAGAATAAACAACAACCAAAAATAATATATTAGCATTTATTCACATAGCTCTGGATTTTTAGTACCAGCTGCACTTTCTATCTTTCAGTTTCCAATAATGTTGACAGAGAAGCCAAGCACTGCAAAGTCATGTAAAAATTCAAGTTCTGTCGGTCTTTCCCCTGACATTCCTCTTTTCTCAGAATTTACAACATTTTTTGGACTTTCAAGTCCTTGTTATTGCATGTGTGCTTGTGTCTGTGTATACATCTCCAAGACATCTGCTGGATGTTACTGCTTTGTCAAAAGTCCTATATAAATGATATTGCCTCAAAGGAAAAGATACCACAACCGCATCCAATCTAGAAATAACAGCTAATAACATGTTTAGTTTAAATTCACATGAAATTAAAACTCTTGAGAGAACTCATTTCTGCTGCTTTTGCACACACACGCAATTTTGCATGGCTGTTTCATTTAATAAGAAAGAGAAACAGTAAGCCTGATATTGGTTTCCAAGGTTTCCTGTATGGTACCATATAATTACAAAAATGGAAATAGGTTCCCACTGTAGATAAAACACACACAAAAAAAGCAGAAATCTGTAGAAAACACATGCAGAGATCTATAGATAACATCCTGAAAATTGTAAAGCTTGCATCTTTTCTTATCTGATCTGTGTTCTGGGTGCCAACGTGAATGATGGAAATGCCAATCTTAATGACTGAGCAAACTGTATTATACTCACTTTTTGGAAGATGAGAGGAACTTTTATACCAGGAATCTTCTTCTGATCATTCTCCAGCAGCACTGTGAGGGGGACTCCAAAAAGACCATTTTCTTAAAAACAACAACAACAGATGAGAAAGTGAGCAAATACAGCTTAATATGTGTCTTCTTATCAATGCTGAGCAGTGCCCAAGTGGCCGCCATGCAGATGCCATGGTACAGTACCTCGTCTCCGTACTCTCTCCGCACGATTCCTCTTCAGCTCTACACCCAGGGCATCGTAGAAGGCTGTTAGCTCAATTAGGGAGAGGTAGCGGATCTTCTTCATGTCTTCAGGAGAGAGATCTCCAATCTCTGTCAGTCCAAATCGGCTTTTCCGAACAATGAATTTCTACAGTAGAGATGAATTGCATCTTAATTTGCACTAGAATTATGTGCAACTTTTTGTTTTGAAAGAGATGCCCATATTTCAGAAGAAGTCAGCTAATACCAAAGAGCTGAACTGCAACTCCATATTTTAGCCTGTTAGGTCGAAATAGCTTGCATCCATCTGAATTATAATCAACCTTCTCGTTTATCATGTTCCCTTATAGTTCAGCTGGTATCACTGTGGCAGAGTTCTTAACTTCAGTGCCCTGCCTGTACTCCAGTCTTGAAGAACAAGCTACATGCTAACTAAATTTCTGTCCAGTTTCAGGAGAATATAACATTGCTTTGCTTCCTCCTCTCCCACACTGTCTTTGAACTCTGCTGAGAGAGTTGACACATTTCATCATGGATATGGTTGTATATCCAGTGGTGATGGGGATGGATGAATACGTTTATGTTCTGCATGTTTCTATTAATTTATGATTTTTTAAAGGGGAGCTCAGACTAAAGATATGAAGAAAAACCCAGAAGTAAAACCACTTAGTTCTTATGCCAACATGCCTCTTTTCTGGTAGCCTTTGGTACTTAAAAATTGTTTTGGCATAGAAATAGGATTCCCATCAGCCAAGAAATAATTTATTTGAACAGGCTTAAACTAAAAGATACTTAGTAATACTGGGATATGTGAAGATGTCTACATATTTTAGAAAATGAATTGTCATGAACCAGAGCCAGAAGCATTGCATCATGCCATAAACATTTGTACAAATGTCAGAAAGAAAAAGCATTTATGAGTTTTTTACTTGATTGCTAGAAATAGTAACAAAATACAATATAAAGCATGCATTTTAAAGCATTGTGGATCTTTGGTGTTTCATGAGGTTTTTTTTTTTTGTTTGTTTGTTTGTTTTACTTTAGTTGTAATTCAAACAAGAATTTATTAGCCAGAAATACAAATAAATACCATTACAAATCATCTCCTTCCTTTGGGGGACTGAGTAGAAACCCAGCTTTTAAGAGGGTTTTGCTCCTGGAGATTTCATTCCAGTCCTTTCATTTTTTAACAAATTTGGACTTAATGTATCTTTAGATGAAGCTAATCAAATATATTAAGGAAAAGAGAAGAAAAAAAATTGCACTAGATTTCAAAAGTAAGAGAAGACAAAGAACACATAGATCACATAGATTTAGGCTTCCTAAACTGCATTGCACATGGCTTTTCAGCTGGGGGAGAAAGAGCGCAGGAGATGGAATAATGTATTTGCAGGATTTCTGAGGCATTTTAGGTCAGATTACTCCCTTCCCAGGATGCAATAATGCTATTGTTTCTCTTATGCTGAGATTTAATAATGCAACAAAATTTATGTGGAAGATGTAGAAACTTAAGTATTTCGACTCCTTTTTAGCTTCATTGATGCAAAGCATTCCAAAGCAGTCAAAGAATAGTAAACCATCTTGGGAGAAAAAATTACACAGTATACACGTTTTCCGAGGGGAAGGAAAATAAAATATACATAGGGAATAACAAAGTCTGTTTGCAAATATGCCTGTCAAGAGAAAAAGACAAACTCTCCACAACCAATTACAAAAGGTAGCTACAATGATTTTTCATATTGGTTTGTTGACTTCTAGTGTCATAATGATGTGATGCAGTACAGATCAAGGTTTGGGGCTCTGCCTCTTTGTTGTGTCTTCTGTCATATTTTTCCAGTGATATTTCTTACTAATAATGGAGTCGTACTATTCATGATAGAAAATTACAGTACAAAATTAAATAACTACCATTTTGACTAAGGAGCATGTCTGAAATGGTTTGACATGTTGTCTCTGTGTGGGAACTACACAGTGTATTTACATGTGTATGAATTGCTTACTGAATTTTTGTTCTATGATATCTTTAACTATATCACATTAATTATGGTTCTTTGTTTAGGAAATAACATGTAACCCAATGCAGAAAATTACGTAGAGCTTGCTTTTTTTGGAAGCTGCAGAGGACATGCTGATTTATGACACAGAGTGAGCAAGAGGCAATTTCATGCAAAGATATTTTACAGTCTGGGCAACTATGGGGAAAAAAAACATATACCATGAACCAAGAAAAATGCCAACACCAACAGATATGATTACTGACTTCATTTAGAAAGTCTCTGTCTCTGATGAGCTGCCATATTTCTTGCGTACTCTTCCAAGTAATCCGAATGTTGTCCTACATGCACAATAGTCCACCTCAAGCATAATACTAGCATTTTAAAACTCAGCAATGATGCATCCGTAAGTCCAAAATATTCAGTGCAACACCTCTTACCTGTTAGTCACCAGTTTCCCTGCTATGTCTACTAAAAAGTGTCAGAGTGGTTGCAGAGAACAATTTGTGTGTGTGTGTGTAGTGAAGGTGGGAGTCTTATATTTACTATTACAAGGACCAAGGAGGAACTTTTGGTTTTTGAGAATTACCATGAATGTAGAGATAACTTTATTCTTCAATGGATGCCAAATTATCTCCAACACAAGAAAAAGAGACATACTAAAGCAAATGGATTTCACACTAGTTGCAGCCTGTTTAATTCCTATCTCTCCTTTCAACAAGGAAGTTTGCTTCTGCATTTCTGCTTCTTCCTTGGTGGTGCCTGAGATGGATACACTGATCATTCTTAGAGAATTCAGTGCCTGTGCGGATAGTAACAATTCAGGACCTCAGGAAATCATGATGTTCAGATGTTTCCAAATAATCTACAGCTATTTCATACATTTCCCCCAAAAGGTGGTATCTCGAGCATGAATTCAAATTTCCAGGAAGCTCTAAGGACAGACAGAAATAAGAAATTATCTATTGAATTCAAGGGATAATTCTGGAAAATGGCATGGCCGCTTATGTAGTCTTGTTGGATAATACAACATGGTAAACTTCCCTTCATTTCATTCATGTGTTATCTCCTATAGTGGAATTGCACTGAATAATGATAGGAGGCAATCAGTACTGATACAGGACTAAGCCTTGCTTTCCCCCCCCCCCCCCTTTATCTGTGAACCAATTTTAAAACCATGTGTTAATAAAAGCAGATAATCAGTCTGGGAAAAAAATAGGAGAGCTGATCAGTAATGAAAATGATTGCTAGTATTAGTGCCAGTAACTGGTCTTCATTTTTGATGTGCAGGTGATGCATTTTTTGTGGATTCGGTTACCCATGCTCATCTGTGATGGGTACAACTGAAAATGAGGCTTGAATATCCTGTTTACCTTTATGCCCATCTGGGAATCAGTCGTATGGCAGAATGGTGGGAGCTCTATATAAAGCACAAACAGCAAAGTACAGCTAATGTGCCTTAACAGCCTCCAAGGTGCCGAAGATATAAAGCAGGAAATTAGTAGGTGAAAAATACAAAGCAACAGCAACAACAACAAAAACCCAACAGAAACAACTGAGAACAACAACAAAAACCCAACAGAAACAACTGAGTAAATACATAGAAAACAAACTTACTGGCAAAGCGGAGTCTTCCTTTCTGAACCTCTGGCTCTTTGTCCACTCTCGGGTTTTTGGAAGGACTGTAATGGATTCTGAGAAAGAGACCTCATAGGAGAGCTCTTCTGTTATAGATGAACTGCCTTTATCTAGTCCACAGTCTAGACAGCTATTAGCTGAAAATAAGGGAAACCACATATAAACCCTGAACGTATGCTTGCATTCAGGACAAAGACATTAAAAAATTGAACCATGATGACAGAAGTCTTAAGAAAATAATAAAGGAAGTGCTTCAAAGAGGAATTTCAGTGTAAAACACAGTACATTCCTGTTTTGTCTGGAGGAAATAACCCCTTAGAAGTGAAATCCCTATTTTCATGTTAGATTATTTTATTTGTTGCTTTTCGTGAGAAAGATAGTCAAGTTGTAACTTCCTGTTTATCAGGAATTACCAAGCTTTTGTACTCTATCCCTGTCTATCTAGGCCAGCAAATTCTGCTGGCACTTGTGTAATGAACAATTAAATCCAAAAGTTCCTGGCAGAAAAAAAAAAAAGCTGTCGACATAGATTTTCAGGTCACTGTTGACTTATTTACAATCAGCGACGTGCATATATTTTACGTGACCACATACACACATGCACAGATTTCTTATAGTTGCTCTTTCAGGTGCATAGCATCAAAGCAGGGCCCACTGTACAATCTTCTTACCATTTGAAAAATGCTATTTCTACTTACTGCTCTACTTTAAACTTCAACTGATTCCTGAAATTAGTAGATGCGAAAGGAAAATTTCTGAAATCAGTACAGTCAAGTCCAGAAATATCCTATTGTCATGGAATCCAAAGTGTGGTAACAGGCTTGAGTTCCAGTGTTGTCAACTTCTATGACTCATCTGTCATATTTCAGGGCAATTTAACATTTTTTATTGAAGTCCAGCTCCTGGACTGTCACAATTTGTACAGTATAATGGTTTTCATTAAAGGAGATATCAAACTTCAGCCCCCAGGACTGCAGAGAAGATTTTACTAATGTGACACAGCTGCATTCAAAAGCCGTGGAAATGAGAAGTTGAACTCAAAAGCATTACACATTTTATAAACTTGTTCATGCCCCATGATTTTTGAATAATTGGATTTACAGGTGAAGGTACTTAATCACCTTCTTAACACATTTTGTTGTGGGATTCTGGTATGAAAAAGTGGGGTACATTATTAGATGGCTTCTGATCTGTCATAGATGTTACTCAATGGGCAAGGGATTTTAAGAAGCATTCCCAGACCACAGACCTTCTCTCTTTCATAGCCCTGGGTGTTTTTTCCCCTGTCTGTTCTAATACAACTTTTTGCTGGGCAGAGGTACCAGCAGAACAGGGAAATGATCAGGCTGTGCAATCAAGATAAATGTCTGTGGCACTATATAAAAAGGTGAATATCTAAGAAACTATTTTAGAAGCTCTTTATATGTATATATACATATATATATATACACATAAAATTTAATATAATTATACTAGCAATAAATTAACACTTTTAATTATCCTTTAGTTAAGCCCTGAACAATGATGATGGAAAGTGCATCCAAAACAAAAGATGGACATTGCCTTGGAAGGCTGCTGACAGCTAATTGAAAAAAAAAAAACAAGTTAAAAAGAGCTAATCATGTCCACTAGTGCTGTTAATAACTGTTAGGGCAAAGTGTTTAAGGGATATCCAAACTGACACTATCAGTAAACTAGAATAATAGGGGAGAGTCAGAAAAGTGATAATTTCTAACTTTACAATATCTGCAGTACTGGAGAAGAAATATGGAGAATACATGCATCTTGTTATGATTCTTAGCAAGAAAATATACTGTTGACATATTTTGGGAAAATTCTGCACCATATTGTTTGAAGGTTACATTCACAATCCCAGCCTTGCAATGATCGGTAAGTTTTAGATATAGACACCTCAGAGACAGCAGTCTGTGTCTTTACAACACCAGTCTTGAATGGAAAACTTTGGTTCCTACATGACAATAAGCTGAAAACATTCTAACAAAATATATGCAGCATAACCCTAACATGAAGGAGGGGTCTGAGCTCAGAACCACAAAGGATCTCTCTGTCTATCATTTTTCTAGGAGGAAGTGAACACTGATTACACGTTGGCATACTCACAGCTAACTGATTTCCAAACTGGCTTCTGCCCAGGAAGCTGGATACCATTAGAAGGAACTGATGACACTGGAACTGTCTCAAATGTGGGCTGATAGGCAAGGAAAAATGATCAGACTACAGTGAAAGTCAATGTCTATGGACAGAAACTGCTACAGTTTAAGAAACAGTGAATCATTCTCAGCTTACACTCTTTGCCAAGTTTAAACAACCTGTTGTGATTTTTCATAACTGAGTACATTTTTCATAACTGAGCCTCAGAATTAATCTTCCCCAGGCTGCACAGATTTGGATCACATTGATGTGGCGATATTGCAGCTCACTGTAGCTAATGAGTCCTGCCCTGCATGATGACTGAAATTAGCTAAATAAATTGCTGTATGTAATTGTACTAAGTGAAAGATCCTTTTCAAATTGTAATCCATCCTGGTTTTAGTCACTTTGCTCACAAATCTTCTGGTGGACACTGACACATCCTGAACATCCCAAGCACCTGGCTGTTCTCCACCAATAGATTATATTCTAACACTTTATCAGAGAACTGAAAATATTGTTTTGAGGAGAAAAAAAAACATTAATTCCATCTTTCTGCTGCAGAAATTATTCTGCAGTGTATGAAAATAGGGGAAGTATGTGCAGCATTGCGGAGAAAGGACTCTGAAGTCCGAGGTGACATCCAGGCACAATCACCTCCCCCTGTCCTCTTGGATTTGCCCTTGTACTTGACAGGTTTGGGCCTGATAAAGACAAATCCAAGCATCTGTGTGTGTATATGGAGAGTAGCACCACACCTGCACTTTTTTGGTAAACAAAAGGCAATAATTTAAAAATGCTCTGAATGGTATCAAGTGAAAACCACTACAGTTCTCCCAGCCAGTCTTATATATATGTTTTTTGGCTGTCCTTTATTTCCTACTTAGGGACCCCTGCCTGAAACCTGCTGCATCCCAACCCTGAGTCTTAAGGGGCAGCCCCTGTCTCGCTGAACACAGCTAAGAGCCCCTATAAGGCTGGAGCAGCAGCTCTTAACTTGCTCTCTAAATTGCTACATCAGCTGTTTATCAAAAAGCTGCAGTGCCTCATGGCAGTATTTATTGTCTTTTCCTAATGAAAAATGTCACATGTTTAAGAGGCAGGCAGCTTTTCCAGTTGCACACCTGAAACAAGAGTACAGTTGTTTTAATCGGTTTTATCCACTAAGTTACCTGGGTAACAAAGTCAAATGTAACACGAATACAATCGCTCCTGAGAGAGTCCATTTAACGGGCTGAGAACTTGATAGCAAACAGGATTTGAGTCACACGGACTTCCTTTGCCAGTACACCATACAAACCACTGATTTTTTTTCATGGAGAACTGTGTGATGCTGTCATCATAAAATCACATAACATGTCTACAGATGTTTTTCAGACATAAAAAAGGAATGTAAATTTCAGGTGGGAATATGGAAATTTAGAGGTCTGAAAAGCTTGCCTCTATGATTTCAGAAAATCAAACATAAGCATAATCATTCATCTTCCAGATGGAGGAATTAATGGTAAACAAGCAACTGGCTCATCTACTTTTGCTACTCAAAATGTCTGACCTTACAATCAGAATCAGAATAAATTCACTGTGAGTCTGGGTTATTGAGGAAAAGTCTTGCTCCATTGATACACAAGTGAAATCAACAGTGAAGATGCTGCTGCCAGCAGCTTCTGCTAAGCACAGCTGGATTGGAAAATGGAGCTGAGAGCACAGCTCTGCCTTTCACTCAGCCTGAAGACTGCTAGTGCTTGTGGCAGCTGGATAGCAAGAAAACGTTTAAAAAGCAAACAAACAAACCATATTCTTCCTCTCGTTTCCCAGCCTTCACAGAGAGAGTATATAAAGAAAAAAAATCTCTTTTTCCTTTTTTCGTAGTTTTAGGGTTTTTGTTATCAGTATTCCACATCATAACATCGTGTAATGCATTGGGAGTTAAAGAGTAGAAATTTCCAAATGCAACCAATAGGAGCTTTTTATTTATTATCTTGTTTTGAATCTTAGGGGAATAGGGATAAAATCTTTTTAAAAAATGATTTTTTTTGGTTCCGTATTGTAAAAAGATTTAAAAACTTTGGAATCTTATGTCTTAATGAATGCCAAAGGCTGAGGGTCAAATTGTGTCCTTACCCAAATTAGGACAGCGTTATTCATTTGGCTGGAGGTCCAGTCAGTGCTAGACTTCATATACTCTCATTTCTTACTGAAAGTGATTCAATAGAAAGTTCTCAGTTCCTGATACTAAAAATGAGCCCAGTGTTTACTAGCATAACATACACAGGAATTTCCAATGGGGAGAAGAAACCAGAAGGGCAAGAAGAAGATGGAGATGAGATAGTCATTTCTTTTGTAGTTAACCTCATTGCAGAAGACATAAAAATAAATTGTTGGAGCACCAAACCAACACAGTTCTGTTGCCAGCCCTACTGCTAAGGAAAATAAAAGAGGTAGACCTATACCTCTAGTCAGGATACAAATTGCCAGTGCTTTAGTTAAATTCATATTTCCAAGTGGTCTTGGAAATATCACAACTGCCTTTTCATGCAAATAGTTCTGGGTTAGTTAGCAATTCTTTCTTAATTAGGACATTATTTTTTCCTGTATTGCTCAAGTAAAATTCTCAGAAAACTCTTGAGAAGTTTTAGTAGACCCCAACACACAGGGTTAGGGCTACTGATGAGCATGATACTACATCTCCTTCCTCCAATAATAAATCTATGTTTCTCCATGAATTTATATTCTGCTGCTGATTTCTTTAAGCTTTGGGCACTAGCAGTGCTGATGGCTTCTGATGGAAGCAGCAGGGAATCAACAGCAAGGAAAATCAGGCCACTGTGATTAATAAACCATCCAATTTGAATCCTTACAATGTGGCTGCTAGCGGAGCCTGTTGATACCAGCCTTCCTGAAGTAGAGCACCTTATCTGGAATAAAGTGCTTCCCCAAAGTTCTTTCACAGGGACAAAGTGTCACAAGCAATGGATTTTGCCTTCAGCATTCACTGCACCTTCCTACTAGAAGAAAAAGTAGGGAAATGTAGCTTCATTTCCTTTCACTTCAGTCCCTTTGGGCTGTTCAGGGAATGCTCCTGCCCTAGTACCCTTTGCTTAGTGTTGATCCACACAGGAGCTGGCTGCCAGACAGTAAAAGGAAAAAAAATTAAAAAAATAAAAGCAAAAATCAAGCAAGCAAAGATTTTGAGAACAGACAAAAGAAAATAAGGCAAATCTTTCTCTTCCTCCTTTCTTTACCCTGGGATGTCAACTATTTATACAGCTTCAATGGCCTTGTAAATCTCATCTCAGGTGACCTTAGTGAGCTAATCACCTCTCATCATTAGGCACTGAAAAGAGTAATCCATCTTGTGTCCCTTTCTGTAATGCTCAGGTTGTTGGGAAGAAGGTGGAAATCTATCCTCCTACAGGGGAGGATTATAGAGTTACCTGAAGCAATTAGAGCTGTTTGGCTATTTGCAACATATTCATTTCTGCCCCACCTGCTCTCACTTCCTATCAAAAAATAAAAAAAAAAACAAACAACAAAACCAGATGGGAGAGCAAAGAACTTCCTGCATAGTCTTTATATCAGTATCTCTTCAGCAGCCATGCTGAAAAGACTTGCTCCTCACTGTCCCCTGCTGCTCTTGTTTTTTTTTTTTTTGGAGCTTTTTTTAAAATCCAGATCACTTTCCCAAACCAATTCATCACAAAGATTCTCTGACAGCTGCAGTGCCATGCTCAAAGACTCAGCTGAGCGTGAGGACCTGTTTTAGCTGCCACTGCCTCACACAGAGCTGTTCAGGATATGGAAACCTCAGCTAACACCCCCTAAAATACTGATCTGCTGCATTCTGCAAATGCACTCATCCATCCATCCCAGAAAAGCTGATAATTAGGATGGGTTTTCTAAATCCCATAAGAAGCAGAAGAGATAGGAGCAATGGTTAATGGGAATATTTAAAGGGTGTTGGGAACCTTGCAGGCTTTTAGAAATACAATCTACTTTGTAATCTCTTGGAGGGTGGTGATGGTGTTTTCTGCAGCTGTGTTTGTATATCTGTGTTTAACTCTTAGGCAAGCACCCTGTAGAACTGCATATTTTTGGGGGAAGAAATAAAGGTCTTAATTACTTTTTCAGTCTTTTTTTTTCAGGTTCTCACAATGCAAAACAAATGAGAGAGCTGAATTTTGGAGGATGTAAAACAATGAATTAAAGGACAATGAATGGGAAGTTTCTTATTCCTTTAGCAAGTGAAAAATAGCAGAGAAAAATAAGCAGGTCAGGAAAAGATCAATAGTGTGCCCATCTGAGTTACAACCACTGTTTGCCTGATTTAAATTTGTTAGAAAACTTAAGCTTTGATAGCATTATTAAAAATTATAAGTGCTTTAACGCATACAGATACTTGAAGCAAAAGAAGTATGCTAATCTAATAAGAAATGCCACAGCTTTTTAATGTTCATGCAAACATGCTAAGCATTTCTCATGCAAGAAAGTCTGCCGACAGGAAACTACTATGTGCTTCTAGAAATATTTGTGGGATTTGTCTATCACACAGAGGTAAGGCAATAAGGATCCCAGGTAATTTTAAGTGGAGACAAACAAATTAATCCACTAGACACTATATTTTTGTTATCTTAAAATAATTATGCAGCTACAATTTTATTTCTTCCTTCTCCCCTGTCATCCCCCCCCCCCTTTTTTTTTTTTAAATTCATTCAGGATACCAGTTCTTGAAGAAAAGGTAGGACAAATAGAAAAGGATAAAACAATTTCATATAAGAAGTTTCCTAGATTTTTGTAATAATAAGAAGTTTGATTTTAAAGGTGAATTCATGAGCTTATTGGTGGTCCCCTAATAAGGTATCACGAGTCACTCATCCAAAATCAAATGTTGCTTTGGGCTGAATTTTCGTGGCTGACTGCATTCACCTAAATCAAACAGTGAAGGGATCAGAATTGGTAGTCTTAGAGCTATCCTCAGGGAAAAATGGATGAATTCACTAGGGGCAATACTTGTTTCTGATGCTGTGAAATAAATGAATAGTTAATAGATTTTTGTTGGCTATGTAAGTGAAATGTAACTGCCAGCATACCAGTTGCAATTGTGCTGGCAGGTGTTTAATTGCTTATGCATATTTGAACCCCAGTTGCTTCATTAGAGAAGCTTTACTTCACTGCTGGGACTGTTGAGAAAATAGCAAGCGTCCCCAGAAGTTAGAAAAAATTTGAACAACTGCCAAGAGTAACTCATCAAGTTCCAAAAAATAAGGGAGTAAATGTTAGTCTTGGAAGGAGGTTTCAGGAGAAGGGCTGGCAATAGATACGACATTGTGCTGAAGGTTAACTACAAAATTGTCTGCCATCTATTTTATTTGGTTTCTTCCTTTCCTCTCAAAATGTAGCAAATACAGCACTACAAGCCTGGACTTAGTGTTAGGAACTTGTATTGGCTGGCTGTGGACCATCAGCAGAAAAGATTTCTGTCTAGTAGAAGCATTCATGTACTACTTGTAAAACACTTAAAAATTAAAAATAATAATAAAAAAAAAGCTCAAAACCATTCTTTCAAACTCATTAGCTACTTACAGAAGAGTCATTGGTGCCAAAGATGTCTCGCACATCCCGGACCGTATGCTTGTTCTTCTTCCTCAGGGTCTGAGTGTATGTGTTGTACCTCTTCTGTACGGCAGCAGCTTGTGTTCGGGTCAGAGTGGACAGCAGGGCTTGGCCATCCTCCTCCTCAGCTCCTGAGATCAGGGTAGATAAGCCTACATCCTGCAGCCACTCGGCCTCCAGTTCCCCTTCTGTGGAGGAAGAGAGCATAACATGGTCTTAATGGAGAAGTAGAGAAGGGCAGGAAGGAAGGGAGGTAGCATGGAAGACTGCTGTGTCTGCCTTTACCTCCGGAAGGCTCCACTTCTAATCTTTCTTAGGCCAAGATTCTAAGTTAATTCAGCTTTTGTAACCATACTACCAACTCTCAGTTTAACACTGTCTGCACAAGGGAGGTTTAGATCAGAGGAGGTATTTTTAACCTGTGCAATAACGTCTTCATGTGAAGATGGCAGCCTGATGCAGCAAGTTTGCTAAAGGCCAACTCCTCATGCAAGTTAATAAATCCTCAGTTCCCACTTAGACCATGTCCTGTCATATGAAGCCATGTAGGTAGAAATTAAATTGGTATTCTAAGTAAACAAAAATACTGAAGTAATGTATACAATACAGCAGTGTGTTTGCACACAAATGATGAGAAGATTAAAGATGCTTTAAAAACCCTCCATCAGCTGGTAATCAAACACTTTGGAAAGGTGACCAGTGGAGAAAAGTTTGATGTTCAGAGTTCAGACAGTCCAATAGTCACTCGGACAAGATAAGTAAGAGCCAGAGCCACTCACTAAAAAGCAAGTAGGAGTAGGTATCAAAGAAGTCAAGTAGAGGTGCAAGGTGCAGAAATAGCTAACTTTTAGATGTCATCCTGATTTCTACTAGTTAAAGACTAGCTAATAATCTACTTCCCAGGGGTTCTGGACACCCAGATCAATAACTAATACATCCTTTTGCCCTGCTTAATGCCAACTTATGAACCAGCTCCGCAGTGAGATTATACACAGTGTGAAACAGTGTTTTCTTTCTTTGAGTTTCAGCTTGCTACTGCTACCTGCTACCTTAGATGAATATTCCCCGTCACTGTAGAACAGGGAGATGCTTCCAATCTACCTTTTCTGGCTCACTTTGTAGTTTTAAGTTTTGTCGTCACTGCCTTTTCATTTATCTGCTTTCTAAAGCAAACAATTATAGTCTTTTTAAATGTCTTATCACAGAGAAGATTTTAAGAGCCTTCATTTTTATTCTGCCTGTGACCAATCCTGCCTCAGCAATATGCTGCTTGAAACAAAGCAATCAAAACAATAATTGGATTTCAGCTTTGACTGCAGGAAAGATATTACAAATAAACACACCAAAGAGGAAATTGACTAATTTTCAGACTGTTCTGTAAAGTAACTAGTCTATACACTCATTGTCCCTCTTGCAGCACTGCTGTTAATGATACGCTCATCTTCTCATTCTTTCTTTATTGCCTCCTCTTGGTAAAATTGGACTGCAGGTAGATTGACAAACACCAGTTTACTTCACTTTGACTGTTTGACACACAAAAAAGAGAACTAGAGTCTTGATTGGTGGGGGCAAATGAAAGAGCATACACATGTGCCATCACTGGCTTCACGGCTAACTGCCTAGTCTCTTCACAAAGCTCTACAAAAATAACTGCCTTTAAAAACTCAGCTCTGCATTAGGCTGGGGTCTTGTATGCCACAAAACGGATCGTTGATGCTGAAAGGATCACAATGGAGACAGGATGACAGGATTTCCATTCCTCCTCCATTAGTTTTGATGCTGAGGTTGTTCTGCCATCCTCATTCTTCTTCCTAACAAGACTTCTTTCCATTTCTGAGTGTTGCTGTCCTACCCACAACCATTCATGTTTCATTTTCCAAATTATATTCATTTTGGCTTTTGTCCTGACATTATTTCTAAGAATTTTGTTTTTAATCAAACATGGTTTTTATGATGCAATGAAAAATAGTAAAGTAGACATGTAATTCTGTCTGTTTACCAGGCACCCTTGTGACTGTTTTCTCTGGCCTTTTCCCTTTTTCTGTTTCAGCTGCTTACAAACGTAGGCTTAAGACAGAAAAACTCTCAAAAAGTTTATGAAAATAAGTTTAAGTAAGAGCAAACAAACCTATATTGTTTTAAAAAATATTATTTTTTACAGTAGTAGCTACTCATTCGGCAGGGTCATTGTTGTTAATCCCAATCCATCAGAAGATAAACAGATAATAGAGAGGGCCCATTGGCAAAATTTTCTTTTGCTCTCAGAGACTGCTAGAATAGGTATGTGCCTTTTTTGAATTTCAGATATAAGCCCAAATATCTCATCCCAAACTTCTAAAACTAAGTATTAATAGCAGTTCTGCATGTCACAGTGATTTTAAACACCCTGACTTTCACTTTCCCTACATTTTCATCTCATGCCATTTATTATGATCTACTTTTTCTTGTCCTTAGTTACATATCAGCAGAGTAAGTCTTCTTATTACACATCTGAGTGGCAAATGCAGAATTGTGTCTTTGACAATATCACTAGTATCTGGCTGCTATAGTCCTTTTGGTTTCTTAAGGATTCTGCACCTTTTCTTCTCAAAGAGATCTTGACAAGATGATGAATATTTGTTTTTATTTTACACTGGGGACTTTCACATTGATTTTCAGTGTTTTGATCCTCGTCAAGGGGTATTAACCTATTAGTATCTTAATAGAACTCATATTTCCAAGATTTATAATCTTAGACTGAATATATTACTGAAGTTAATAACTAGAAGAACTCCGTGGTTGTGTGTGGGTGTATGTACTACATAAGTGTGTAAAACAACAATATAAAGGTAAATGAAGTGTGGAGATGTATTGCATTTTACACTGCAGTCACATTTTTAATTTGGGACAGAGAGGAAAAAATCAATGCAATGTAATGAGGTGAAATCAGATGAAGGATAGTATGGAACTACACTACATTTTGCATTGGTGTGAAGAGTTAGCTGAGCAGTCATGAGAGCAACAGAAAAGTTTTTGAGAACTGGTAAAATAGGCTCCTGCATTTCCTTGTCCTATTAACTTAACTGGCTTGCAACCTTCCCCTGATGTTGGGGAAAAGTCATGGACATATCATTCACACTGATTAATTGCATGAGGGAAATACCATGATGTTCACGATCTCATCCTGTGCTGGGGAACCCAGAACTGAACACAGCACTCCAAATGCGTCCCCACCAGTGCTGAATGGAACAGAAGAGTCACATCCCTTGATCTGCTGGTGATGTTTTTCCTAACATAACCAAGAACGCTGATAGCCTTAATGGCAACAGCACGCTTTCCCAATAAGGGCAAACTGAGGCAGATTGCTTTTCTGTAACAATAACCATAATTTTTCAGTTACACTTCCACCTATCTTTATTTGAGATCACAGGCCAACAAAAAAAAGGGCAGCTTGGTTTTAAGCTGGCAGATCTTGACCCTTACTGAATACAGATTTCTGGTAAATGGAGGTCTTCTACTTTTATTCCCAAGAGAGGAGACTAGAGCTAGTCAGTGGAAGTCATTCCCCATGGAAACAGCATGTAGTTAGAGCTAGATACCTCTCTGTTGGATACTTATCATGAATGATTACTTATTTGACTACAAAATAAAGTAACATCCTTTACCGTTTTCAACCCTTTTCCTGGTAGCAAAATTAATTATATCCTATTGCATGTAAAGGTAAGAAAAGCACACTTCACTCATATTAACAACAGTGTGAAGAGAATACACCATTCTTTCCAAATCTATCTTTAGATCAGCTATTCCCAGGCTAGTGGCCTTGATCCTCAAAGTGGCTGCAACAATCAGTGGGCCTTGGCCTCAGAAAAATTTCAGTTTTGTCTTACGTTAACACCTGGTATTTTGTATTGTATAATAAAATACATTTGTAAGTGGAATCATAACTGGGAAAAGTTAGAGGACTTGTTCCAGATGTAATTCATAGAAGAGATCAGTAAGTTTTAATAAGTAAGGAAGCTGAAGAATGTAGTCATCTATATACTTGGACTCATCTATAATATCTCCTCAAGTCAATTTCAGAGAAACAGGCAGCCACCAAACTTGATAGCACAAAATGATATCTAGCTAAAAACTTCTTCAAGACTTTCATAATTCTACTTCATATTCTACCAAAAGCCAGAAAGTGGAAAATTCCAATATATTAATTGAACTTTTCTGTCCTTTAATGGATTTTGGTTTAGATTATTAAATGCTGGAGATAAAGTTTTCTTTTAGTGCTTCTCTTTCCTGACTCAAAGAAATCCGTATTTTAATCTTGCTCATAATAGGGAAAGAGAGAAAAGCATCACCAAAGAGATCAGGAAATGCTAAGGTGTGGAGAAGAAGTGGTGTTTATGTGCTTACCATCAGCAGGTTTGAACTCCAAGAGTGATGCTTCTTCAGGCCCATCTTCACTGCTCTCCTTGATGCTCTCCACTTCGCACCAGAAGTCCTCCATGGAGGTGCTGTCCACAGAGGCCTGAGAGTTGGAGCGAGTGAATACTGGAGGACTTGTTGGCATTGACTCATTGGAAAGCATCCTGTTAATTCTTCGGCAGCGAGGAAGAGATTTTCTGAAAAGAGACAGAGATGAAAACTAAAAATATTTTACTTTTCTAATATGCAGACTGGACGTGCAACCAGGGTTTCAAATGTGGCTGTACCAGGAAGGCCAGGAACAAGATGTTGGAAGCAAAGTGCACAGTTCTGGTGGTCTTCATGATTTCTCTTGCTCATAGAAGTCATGACTGGAGATTTGTTTTCTTCTAACAGTTTATCTCTTTAAAGACTTTTAATGTTTTACACCCAAGAGGGGAACTCAGGAGATACAATTTTTATATCTAATACTGCTACTCTTCTAATGAGACAATAAAAAAGGATTTTAACTTCTTTGTGCCTCAGCTTTTCTTTCTGTCTCTTTCTATTTTGTTTACGCGCTGAAATACTTTTGAGGAAAAATAATCAGAGTTGGGAACACTGAAATGTATCATCTTGTCCCCACTAACTGTGCATATTATAAAGAAAAATATGAGATGATTTAGATCAGAAGAATAATTACTTTTTCCATTTGAAAATTCTGTTTAAAGTATTTTTAAAAAAGAACTTTAAAATAAATAAAATCTTTTAAAAAAATCTTAAAAGTGAAATCATGTATTTTAGGACAAACAGAAGATTTCGATCACTGTTTAAAAAAATTGATTCACTAAAAATCAAATTCCAAGTTACAATTCAATACAAAGATTTCTTCTCTTAAATTAATTTTTGGATTTTTAGTAAACTAACAAACTTGTCCCTTGTTCCTTTGTTCTTTTCTTTTCCCATTGTGAACTCATACAGGTGAAGACAGTTGTATAATTTCACAGAAAAATTTATGAAATACCCACTGCAAAAGTCTTATCTAACTTTGTTCTGTCACATTATTACAGCTGTGATACTTTAAACAGCTTTTGCAACTGTAATTACAGTAATTACAGTAGAAAGTAATACAAACCAGCACAATATTTGTACAAAGGAATCAAGAGGTAGCACAATTATGACTAGAGAGCTAGACTGCAGGAATTAATGGAAAATTATGTCATAAGGTCTTCTGGCCTTCACTTATCTGAATTAATTCAAATGCAGTTTCCCTTTCTCTTCCTTTCCTTTATGGCATTATCCTGCCAACAGCCCTTTGTTTAAAACCACAAACATCACTTTTACTCCATTAAAAAAAAGATGCTTCCTTTTCAGTATTTCCCTCCTTTTCTAAGGTCTCCTAATGGATGTAAAAACACTGCAGTATATAATGAAGCTGACTGGATCTATAGTCCTGGGGCCTGCTCCCACCACTTGGGTGGGCTCAAGCAGTTCCTTCCACTCTAGCTCTGAGCTCAAAACAGCAGTGTGTAACGTGGACAATTTGGATGCAAACCTGCCTACATGCTAGCTGCCCAGAAGCAAAGCTTTCAGATGGATGACCAAACTTCAGCAGGCCAAAATGTGCTGTTGTGCTATAGAAACAAATATCCTCCAGGAAGAGAGGTGTCACTTTCAGTGCTTTTATCTTTTCTTCCCTTCTCACAGATGGCAAATGACTGTTTTTAAGCATAATGCTGAAACTGTTATTAATTAGGATAAGCTCCAGTTATGGAACGTGAGAAGAACTTGTGACACATGTGGTTAAAGCTATTGGATGCTCACCACACAGTCTTCTGCTGAGGGCATGTGAGCTTTTAGTGTTTGTTCAACACAACTCAGGTGACTGAGGTACCTGCCAACAAACCATCACTGCAGTGGGTATAGGGCCTGGGATCTTTTTGTTTGGATTTGCCTTTCTCTTTTCCTTCAGCACCAGCAAGGAAACAAAACTGTGGGCCTCACAGATATCACAAGAATTGTGCAAAGTGTCCTGAAGCAGAGATGTTAACAAGGAGAAGCTGAACCCCTGAGAAACAGCCAGGAAAACTGTGCAGTCAGTGGGGAGAGGGCTGGGATGGGGAAGCAGTCCCTGCTAGCCAATTGCTCACTGCTATGAGAAGTTTTGCTCCTTTGTTTGAGAGGTGATAGCGAACACAAATAAGGAAAAAGGCAAAGCTTCCTGGCACTCTCAAGGCCTTTGGGGCCCCTTTCCACTCAGCACTGTGCAAGGAGAGAGCCTATGCCAAGGGCTTGTGTCCCTCCCCAACTTCCTCTGTAGCTTGGAGTTCTGCCTGAGCCCCCCACATTGCTGCTCACTACATATTGATACCAGTATTGTTAAAGTTTTGTTAAAAAATAAGTCTCCACATCTGCTCTAGAGCACTGCCCAGAGCAGCACTCGCAGAAATAACACTCTCGCTATGCTGGAGTCAAAGGCATGCTGGGATAAGCAGAGGAGTTTTTCCTTTTTTTTTTTCCCTTTTTTTTTTTTTTCACTTTGCTGCCTTCCATCACTTAGTCATGGTCAGGGAATTTAAACACTTCCTGCCCTCCCAGTGTGAGTCTTGACCATGACCCTTGTGCTCTTCGGGCACCACACCAGACTGATCCCTGGGCTTTGACTCCATCAGCACTTCTAACAGCTAACTCAAACCAGGGCTTTTCATTTCACCATATTAGGAAGAAAGAGGCTTGGTGGGTTGTTTCTTTTCTCCTCACAGTGAGTTCTGTAATATTACCATACCGAAAAGCTAAATGAAAACAGATCACGTAACATGGCAACAACTGCTGTGACAACCAGCTTTACCAAATACGTCAAAGGTTACTGAGTAATTAACGTGCATTTACAACAATATTAAAAGTATGGAGCTTTTTTGAAAATCAACTGAACAAAGTCTGCTGAGAATCTTATATCTGAAACTTGAGCACAGATTAAATCCCACTGTGTAAAATTCCTGTAACAAGAAAGATTAGGCAGAGATGCTTTATCCTTATTGGTAAACAACTGAAGCTTGCTTCCAGGTGGTCTGGTATTAACCTTCTCCAATTATTCTCAGTCTCATGCGCTGGAAAAGTTCTCTGGCTGCCATTTTGACCCATATACCTGGAGCTTCTGTCCTGGAGGAAGTGGTCTTGTTTTATGTAATAATGGCAGTTGTCTCCACTTCCTCTACTCAAAGCTCTTGAAAACAGTTTCAGGAAAAAGGAGAGAATTCCCACTGAGGAAGCAAAGCATATTCCTCACTGCTTTTAATGTCTTGGAGGACATGAGTACTGACTCAGCATGCCTGTCTCAGAAATAGCTCAACAAGCCCAAGTTGCCTGTCACTTGGGAACTCTGATAGCCGGAAACCTACGTTCCTCATACCTTTCTCACCCTTAAGGCTTTCTGGTTTGTTTGCCCTTTTCCTCGGTGTCTATAAAGAAGTTTATGAGGATGTTTTTATTTTCTTCTAAGCCAAGTCCATTGTTCTTACAGAAAATTTGAACAGCAGTCTGGTTAGACAAGGACTAATCACAGACTTCATGCTCCATTTCCTCTGGTAACTTACATGTACAGCAGTGGTGAGCTAATCCAAAAGGCTGACTGAAACTTAATGCAGCAGGGGTCTCAGATCTGGCTTCCGAGATGGAAAACACTGGTAGAAAAGGATGATGAAGTACCAAAAAATATTACAGTGACTTCAGTGAGTGAGCTGAAACTGTTTTCAGGATGCAATTATAAACAAAACAAAACAAAAACCCACGCAGGTTTTTGAGTATTGTAAGTATTGGTATATATACTTGAAGCCAATACTTGAAAACAAAAGAAAATGAAATATACTTGAAAATACTTGAAAACAAAAGAAAATGAAAGAAGGGAAAAGTATACTACAGTGGTTAATGTTGTCAGAGAACTCTTCTGTTGCTGGGCATCAGTCACACAAGAAAGGGTTGAGGAGTGCCAGTAAGGAGAACCATGATGGTATCATGTAGAGAGCAATATTTGCAAAGAAGAGGGGTATTTCCATGGGACACAAGGAGGTTGATTCGTCTGCGTGTGACTCTAGTTAGCAACTTTGTTGTGTTTGTAATGCTGACAAAATGCAATAGCAAAGTAGGCCCACTGAACCTATGATTTATGTTTTGTATATCGAGCAGTAGTAAGCTGTTGGGGGTCTGCCAGCATACACTGATTTCAGGATAGCCATGGTAGATCCAGTAGCACTTCTTATCCTATCCCCAAAGCAGAGGTTAGTCACACTGCATGAAGAACTGGTTCAGTGACACCTAATGATTGCTCATGGGCTGACTAATGAGAAAGCTAGGCTTGTGTTTTCAGTTTAATTAAATGATGGGTGGTAAAGAATCCATAAAACAGACAGGGAGCAATAAAGCCACCTTGTAGTTAAAAACAGCATTCAATCCTTGTTTACACAGAGACAGAACATCTTATTCTTGTGGATCATTACGTTTGATTTAATTCAGTGAGTTCTAAATTAAGTCCATCACAATTAGTCACATTTACAAGAAAGGGGAAGAAGCAGGGAACAAATTATCCTGGCCATTTTTGGTGTTGTTCTGAGCACCGGAGTCCACCTTTGCTTATTACAATCATTCTATCAGTGTACTCACTCATTCCAGTGAAGTTGATAGCGCTTGAATAATGCAACAGCAGCAGAGTACTTTGTTGTTGTCTGTCCCCAATCTTTCTTACAGTTTATCATAACTATTACTCAACTTCTGACAAAATAAACAATTACTCTCATTCTGCTTAACTTTTCTTGGATGTAGAAAGGGAGATAGTACCTTGTCTTGGCAAGGTACATTTCTACCTCTTAGCTAAGAACTATGTTTTTGTCTGTTTTGAATTTTTAGGAAGCAGTCATGTACCAATGTTTCCTTTTTCTTTTTTCCTCAAATATGTAAAAGCTTCAGGCAGAGTCCAGCAACTGGAAATACTACCTCTGTGCACAGTTCACAGCTTGTTTTCAGCCAATACTCTTCCCCCAAATCTCTCGTCTTCTGCTTCCTTCCTGGTGACCCAGTTTGCTGTCTGCTTGCTTCCTTTGCTCTGTTCTCAGTGGCTTTTAATCACAGAGAGGAGTATATCTCAGGCAACATTTCCCAACTCCTTCTGCTTGCTTCTCATTCTGATTATCTTGCAGATATTAGAAAAAATGTAGGCAGTGGACTC